CTACATTTTCGTATCTTCAACGGATTTTCGGCGATTTTGCTGTATTATCTTGACGCCCTTACCGCATTACAATGGGTAGAGGGAAGAAGAAAGAAGATACGAGTAAGAGTGACCCTGAAAAGCCAGACTCCAGCCTTGACGAGTCTGCAGGGGCCACTGCCAGCACCCCACCTCCCACTGATGTTGCCACATTGCTACAGTGGATAATTCAGAGGGATGACAAGAGGGAAGACGCCCGCCGGAAGGAGGAAGAAGCCCGCCGGAAGGAAGAGGATGCACGCAGGAACGAGGAGTCTGCTCGTTTTCAGGAGCTGATCCTTCGCCTCACCCCCCAGCAGCCCGCAGCTTCACCTGCAAGTTCGCCAGTGAGCAGTTCTGCCGCGCCCACGGCTTCTCCCACTCCACCGACCCCGAGGGCAACAATACAGCCTCCGAAAGCACTAACAGCAGACGCGAGTCCCCAACAATTTCGGGAATGGAAGCGCGAATGGTCCGATTATGCTGTTATGGTGGATCTTGTCAGCCTACCATTATCAAAGCAGCATATACAGCTACGCATGTGCCTTACAGCTGAGATGCGACGGGTGCTGGAGCACAAGTTGGACGTGCCCGCAGACCCAACATGCTCAGTGGAAGATGTCTTGGCAAAGCTCGAAACGCACATAAAAAATGCAAGTAATGAGGCACTGCGACGGAAGGCCTTCTCTGAGTGCAAGCAAGCAGACGGCGAGAGCTTCGATGACTTTTGGATACGCCTGAAAATCTTGTCACAGGAGATAGACCTTTGCAAGGCACAGGACCAAGCATGCTGTGAGCAGTGGAAGAAACACGGCATATTAATGGGTATACGAGATGAGGAACTTACCCAGAAGCTCATTGAGATGGACCGCTCAGCGACGTTGCAGGATGTTTTGGAGAAATGCAGGTCTCATGAATCGTCAAAGACTGCATCATCTGCTTTGAAGGATACAGTTTCTTCACGTGCTGTTTCTCAATATAAAAGAGAGAAAAAGGCTGCCATGAAGCAGAAGTCCAAGATGAGGCCTGGCTCACCTCCGCCTAATAAGGCCTGCAACTGCTGTGGTCGTCAACATGAAAAAGGTTTGTGCAGGGCCACCACTTCCACATGTTGTGCTTGTGGCAAGAAAGGCCATTGGGCTACTGCTTCCAAGTGTCCTGCCAGGAATGCCAGATGCAGGGTGTGCAACAGGCAGGGACACTATGATAAATGTTGCCTAAAGACAAGGAAGGCTAAGAAGACAAAAGAAGAGGACCCCAGCCAGAACTTAAAGGTAGTAAGTTCAGTATCCCCTTCAGTGTCATATGCCAGGAGTGTCACCTCTACTGCACGACCGAAGCCTCAGCCTTCCCCTAAAGTCCGCGTGTCAATTCGGCATAATGATTTATCAGGGAGTCTTGCCATCATCCCTGACACAGGTGCTGACACAACTGTCATTGGACTCCAGCATCTTAGTAGTCTCGGCCTCTCAAAGAAAGATTTGGCACCACCGGCAGAGACCATATACTACAATGCGGATGGGTCACAGATGCCACCAGCGGCTGGATCTTTTCGTGGAATTATCACCTATGGCAACCGTTCGACTACATGTTGGATTGATGTTCAGCCTTCGCTTACAACCCCGCTGCTCTCTTGGACCGAGTGCAAGGATTTGAGGATTGTTCCGGACTATTTCCCAAGGCAGATGTCAGATATGCGCATTGCCAGTCGAGTCCATGGGCTAGGCAGTGCACCAATGTCGAACCCTCCTAAGTTGCTGCCCTTACCACTGAACCAGCTGACGTCACCTGATGAAGCAAGGAAGTATTTTCTGCATCAGTATGCAGATGTTTTGGTGAAGAAGGACAACCTGCATTCTGGGCCACTCAAGACGATGGTAGGCCCACCCATGAGAATTCATCTACGGGAGAATGCCACGCCCTTCGCAATCCACACCCCAAGAATGATTCCTTTAGCTTTTCAGGAACCAACAAGAAAGGAGCTTGAGTCATTAGTGACCCAAGGCATCTTAAAGCCAGTGGAGGATGAACCATCAGAATGGTGTCATCCAATGGTCGTTGTTCCAAAAGCAAATGGTGGTGTACGTATTACTACTGACCTATCAAAGCTCAACAGACAAGTCTCTCGCCCTGCCCACCCTTCTCCGACGCCATTTACAGCCATTAGAAGTATCAGTCCGCAGTCAAAGTTCTTCACAACTGTGGATGCTCTTTGTGGTTATTGGCAGCTGCCCTTGCATGAGGACGATCAACACCTGACGACATTTATCACTCCTTATGGACGTTTCAGGTATTGTCGTGGTCCCATGGGTTTTGCAGCAACAGGAGACGCCTTTTGTCTCCGAGGTGACAAAGCACTACAGGGAGTAACAAACTGCATCAAGGTTGTGGACGACATTCTCCTACATGATGAGGACTACCTCTCACACCTTCAACGTGTAAACGAAGTCCTGTCAAGGTGTCGCCACCACGGTATAACCCTTAATGCAGAGAAGTTCATTGTGGCTGCATCTGAGACCAGTTTCTGTGGGTACAAGCTATCAAATAATGGTATTGAAGCAGACCCAGAGAAGGTAAAAGCCATTGCAGAGTTTCCTACCCCTGCAAACCTGACAGATCTTCGATCATTTATGGGCTTGGTAAATCAACTGGCAGAGTTTACGCCTAAGATTTCGACTACTGCAGCCCCACTCCGCCCATTGATGAGTCAGAAGAGAGCTTTTACTTGGACCGCAGACCACACCAAGGCTTTTATTGATACTAAACAGGCTTTATCAAGGCCCCCCATACTTGCGACGTTTGATCCCGCCCTTCCCACCATTCTGCAGACCGACGCCTCCAGACTCTACGGCCTTGGCTATGTGTTGTTGCAGGACCACGGTGCTGGAAGATACAAGATGGTGCAATGTGGTTCCCGTTTCTTGACAGATACAGAAACACGGTATGCGACCATCGAATTGGAAATGCAAGCTGTCGTCTGGGCCATCAGTAAGTGCAAGTTCTATCTTCGTGGACTTCAGCACTTCAGTGTGATGACAGATCACCGTCCATTGGTTCCAATTTTGAACCATTATTCCCTGGATGCAATTGAAAACCCTCGTCTCCAGCGCATGAAAGAAAAGGTTGCACCCTACATTTATACCGCAATGTGGCGTGCAGGTAAGGAGTTGTGCATCCCTGATGCCCTTTCCCGGTCACCTGTGAGTCGCCCAACAATGGAAGACGGTGCCTTCGATGCTGAAATGGACACCTCTGTCAAGATTGTAGCTCTGCATGCTGTTCAGTCTACTAAAGCATCAGAAGCCATAGATGTGCAAGAGGATCTCTTCTTGGAAGAACTGCGTACAGCTGCCTCTAAGGATGCTTCTTATGAGGAGTTACTTCACCATGTAAAGTCAGGGTTCCCCAAAGACCGCTACAACCTACCAAGTGCCTTGCGTCCGTACTGGAAGATTCGCAACGAATTGTACAACGATGGTGACTTGGTGCTGTATGGACCTCGAGTGGTTGTCCCTGCTTCTTTACGTCGTAGCACCCTAGCTCGCCTGCATGATAGTCACTGTGGCGTGGAAGCAACAAAGCGTCGTGCACAGCAGACAGTCTTTTGGCCAGGCATTAATGCAGACATTGTAAACACTGTCCGTGCCTGTGAGCCATGCCAGCGCCTACAGCCTAGTCAGCAACAGGAGCCATTGATGTTGGATGACAAACCCACAAGACCATTTATGTCTGTGTCGGCAGACTTTTTCAGTGTTGCTGGAAAACATTTCTTGGTGTATGCTGACAGACTATCCGGATGGCCAGTCGTCATCCCATGTGGAACTAGTGCAACAAGTGCTACGACCATCAGATTCTTCCGGCATTTGTTCCGTGATCTGGGTGTGCCAGTTCGCCTACGCACTGACGGCGGACCCCAGTTCTCGAGCCGGGAATTTGCAACTTTCCTTCAGCGATGGGGAGTACGTCATGCTATGTCAAGCCCCCATTACCCACAGTCCAATGGGCATGCAGAAGCTGCTGTGAAGAAAGTCAAGCATCTGATCATGAAGACAGCACCCAATGGAAATATTGACAGCGAGGAGTTCGACAGAGGATTACTGGAGTTACGTAACACCCCAAACTTCACTGGTCGATCTCCTGCTCAGATTCTGTTTGGCATGCCCCTTCGCTCCTGTGTGCCTGCCCACTCTAGTGCCTTCATGAAGGAGTGGCAGACCAAGGCTGAGGACTGCGACCGTCGTGCCGCAGTACGGGCCAAGGACGTGAAGACCCGCTATGACAGCCGTGCCCACTCACTTTCTAAGTTAGAGATTGGGGCACAAGTGCGAGTCCAGGATCCCACATCCAAGCGTTGGGATAAGCTCGGCACTGTCATGGGTATTGGCAAATCTCGTGATTATCACATCAGGCTCCCAAGTGGTCGTATACTGTGGCGCAATCGACGCTTCTTGCGCCCTACACAGCTCATGATTGGAAACTCAGCAGATCTGGAAGAACAGCAGTCAGACGACGCACCAGGATCTTCCGCCCCATCTGTGCCTGTTGAACCTCGACGTTCGGAACGTATCAAGTTGAAGTCCGTTCAAGACTCCCGCTAGTGAACGTGAAGGGGGGAGGGAGATGTGGGTTGTGATAGTGAAGTGAGTTGTGATAACAATGTGAGTTGTGAGTGCCATGTTGTGATGCCGATGCATATGGATTATAATGCCAGTATTATCGTACGCATATTGTGGTAATTATGTTATTATATTATACACACTATCATTTGTGTGATATGTTATACCATGTGAAATATAGAAGATTATGTTTAGTTTATATTGCTGTGTAGCATATCACTTATATGAAAGAATGATATTCTCTGTTTGATTTATAGAGTACAACATTTTATTTTGTCTCTGTAGTCACACGTCTGGCAGTAAACACAGAGAGACGGAGCCTGGCGTGTGGGGCAGAGGAACATGAAGAGATCCGTATTATTTTTG